AGTGTGTCTTGGGCTGACGTGGGCCGCGAGTGTGACGTGGGCCACAAGTGTGTCTCGGATATCGACGTGCCAACACCGCCTGTAATTGCTCTTATCCGCTTCGTGTTCCCATCCACACCTCGGGACCCAGTTATTTCAGATTTTAATGTGGAAATCATTTCTTTCACATCCTTCTGCATGTCCGGGAGCTTTGTTTTCTCAATGACAAGTATCTTCTGCTGCCACCTACAGCTGACGACGTGTCCTCTCATAAGTTGGCTACTCAACATTCATTCACCAGACGTTTACAATGTATTGTGTAGGGCTGGGATTGTAATCCTGCTAACTTGTGAGATTGTAATCCTGCTAGCCTGTGAGATTATAATCCTACTAACCTGTGTGATTGTAATCCTACTAAACTGTGTGATTGTAATCCTGCTAGCCTGTGAGATTGTAATCCTGCTAGCCTGTGAGATTGTAATCCTGCTAATCTTATATGAACGTGAAATATCTGTTGATTTTAGTGGCTTAATCTACTGCTATTTGTAAGTCCTCATGTCCACTGCTCAGCTATTTAAAAGATTGTTGTATATGTCCTAAGATTAACATAGAAACCTTGTGTATATGTATATTGTTTAGTCTTCATTTTGTTAATAATGGCTAAAATAAACAATGGTTTCCCTGAAGATTTCAAGTTAATTAAGTTATGTAAGAGTATTTGGATAAAACTCATTTAAAAGATAATAAGAATGATTTTAAAATTGATTTTAAAACTAACATGTTAATAAGAATAATACGAAGGCGTGCTCAAGTAGACCGTCATAGCTGTTTTTATCAGTGTTTCTTTTAGACTTTTTTTCTCCGGGGGGGGGGGGGGGGGGGGGCACTTGAAATTTTCGGGGGGCGGTAGACTTTCTTCGGGGGGCGGACACTGTTAAAAGTATATATTTTATATATAAATTATATAAATTTCATTTCGTTCCGGGGGGGGGGGGGGGGGCGGTAAATTTTTTTGCCCCCCCCCCCCCCCCGAAGAGATGTCTGGAAGAAACTCTGGTTTTTATTATTTACTCGTCTTCTGCATTATTGTGTTGTTTGGTGCATTAGCTAGAGTCGGCTCCCCCTCGCCTGCAGTAGCTAGTTAATTCCCCTCACCTTTGTAGCTAGAGTTAGCTCCCCTAACATGTGGTAGCTAGAGTTAGCTCCCCCACCTACAGTAGCTAGAGCTAGCTCCCCCACCTACAGAAGCTAGAGTTAGCTCCCCCACCTATAGCAGCTAGAGTTAGCTCCGCCACCTACAGCAGCTAGAGTTAGCTCCCCCACCTACAGCAGCTAGAGTTAGCTCCCCCACCTACAGCAGCTAGAGTTAGCTCCCCCACCTACAGCAGCTAGAGTTAGCTCCGCCACCTACAGCAGCTAGAGTTAACTCCCCCACCTACAGCAGCTAGAGTTAACTCCCCCACCTACAGCAGCTAGAGTTAGCTCCGCCACCTACAGCAGCTAGATTTAGCTCCCCCACCTACAGAAGCTAGAGTTAGCTCCCCCACCTATAGCAGCTAGAGTTAGCTCCGCCACCTACAGCAGCTAGAGTTAGCTCCCCCACCTACAGCAGCTAGAGTTAACTCCCATCACCTGTCGCAGCCTGTTATCTCCCCTTACCTCTAGTAGCAAGAGTTAGCTCCCCTCACCTGCAGTAGTTAGAGCTAACTCACCCCACCACCCTGCCGTGTTAATCAAAGGATGACAACTCCGCACCAAATATTCCAGTCACCAAAAGTTGATGATCTACACAAAACGCCCGAACGTACTGGAGGCGAGGAGACAGCATGTTTTGCTGGCGCTCTGATTATTGCCGAGACAAAAACGGCACGAGTGATTGCTGTTATTGTTCACAAGTATCGACTTTTTGCCTTAATTATACATCTCCAGTCTGGGGCTTGGCTGAGGGTTGTTTATTAGTAGGGCGCGATGCTAGCAGCTTAATCCAACCGGATTTTTCTAAACGACTTCTCATATATTTTTTTCCAAGGCTCATCACTTTTAAAAGATGTACATTAACGTCTAAAATTCCTCAGCATTTTTCTAACACGTCGTTCCAATGCAAATCTATAAGCTGGGGATTACGTACTTGCTAATAGTTTTGTCAATACAACAGCGCATGGCAACACAGGCGAGCATCGTCGGGACAACTTCTTGTGCTAGAGGGGAGAAAACTTTCAGAGTGTCGTGTGTGGGAGTGTCGTGTGCGGGAGTGTCGTGTAGGGGAGTGTCGTGTAGGGGAGTGTTTTGTAGGGGAGTGTCGTGTGAGAGTGTCGTGTAGGGGATTGTCCTGTGTGAAAGTGTCGTGTAAGGGAGTGTCGTGTGTGGGAGTGTCGTGTGCGGGAGTGTCATGTAGGGGAGTGTCGTGTAAGGGAGTGTCGTGTAGGGGAGTTTCGTGTGTGAGAGAGTCGTGTAGGGGAGTGTTTTGTAGGGGAGTGTCGTGTGAGAGTGTCGTGTAGGGGAGTGTCGTGTAGGGGAGTGTCGTGTAGGGGAGTGTCGTGTAGGGGAGTGTCGTGTGTGAGTGTCCTGTGTGGGTGGATGGACATAAGGAACAGATTAATGTACACAGATCTTTATCTGGACCAGATTAATATACACAGATCTTTATCTGGACCAGATTAATGTGCACAGATCCTTATCTGGACCAGATTAATGTACACAGATCCTTATCTGGACCAGATTAATGTACACATATCTTTATCTGGACCAGATTAATGTACACAGATCTTTATCTGGACCAGATTAATGTACACATATCTTTTTCTGGACCAGATTAATGTACACAGATCTTTATCTGGACCAGATTAATGTACACATATCTTTATCTGGACCAGATTAATGTACACATATCTTTATCTGGACCAGATTAATGTACACATATCTTTATCTGGACCAGATTAATGTACACAGATCTTTATCTGGACCAGATTAATGTACACATATCTTTATCTGGACCAGATTAATGTACACAGATCTTTATCTGGACCAGATTAATGTACACATATCTTTATTTGGACCAGATTAATGTACACAGATCTTTATCTGGACCAGATTAATGTACACATATCTTTATCTGGACCAGATTAATGTGCACAGATCCTTATCTGGACCAGATTAATGTACACAGATCTTTATCTGGACCAGATTAATGTACACATATCTTTATCTGGACCAGATTAATGTGCACAGATCCTTATCTGGACCAGATTAATGTACACAGATCTTTATCTGGACCAGATTAATGTACACATATCTTTATCTGGACCAGATTAATGTACACATATCTTTATCTGGACCAGATTAATGTACACATATCTTTATCTGGACCAGATTAATGTGCACAGATCTTTATCTGGACCAGATTAATGTGCACAGATCTTTATCTGGACCAGATTAATGTACACAGATCTTTATCTGGACCAGATTAATGTACACATATCTTTATCTGGACCAGATTAATGTGCACATATCCTTATCTGGACCAGATTAATGTACACATATCTTTATCTGGACCAGATTAATGTACACATATCCTTATCTGGACCAGATTAATGTACACATATCTTTATCTGGACCAGATTAATGTACACAGTTCTTTATCTGGACCAGATTAATGTACACAGATCTTTATCTGGACCAGATTAATGTGCACAGATCCTTATCTGGACCAGATTAATGTACACATATCTTTATCTGGACCAGATTAATGTACACATATCTTTATCTGGACCAGATTAATGTACACATATCTTTATCTGGACCAGATTAATGTACAAAGATCTTTATCTGGACCAGATTAATGTACACATATCTTTATCTGGACCAGATTAATGTACACAGATCTTTATCTGGACCAGATTAATGTACACATATCTTTATCTGGACCAGATTAATGTACACATATCTTTATCTGGACCAGATTAATATACACATATCTTTATCTGGACCAGATTAATGTACACATATCTTTATCTGGACCAGATTAATGTACACATATCTTTATCTGGACCAGATTAATGTACACATAACTTTATCTGACCAGATTAATGTACACATATCTTTATCTGGACCAGATTAATGTGCACAGATCCTTATCTGGACCAGATTAATGTACACATATCTTTATCTGGACCAGATTAATGTACACATATCTTTATCTGGACCAGATTAATGTACACATATCTTTATCTGGACCAGATTAATGTACACATATCTTTATCTGGACCAGATTAATGTGCACAGATCCTTATCTGGACCAGATTAATGTACACAGATCTTTATCTGGACCAGATTAATGTACACATATCCTTATCTGGACCAGATTAATGTACACATATCTTTATCTGGACCAGATTAATGTACACATATCTTTATCTGGACCAGATTAATGTACACATATCTCTATCTGGACCAGATTAATGTACACATATCTTTATCTGGACCAGATTAATGTACACATAACTTTATCTGACCAGATTAATGTACACATATCTTTATCTGGACCAGATTAATGTGCACAGATCTTTATCTGGACCAGATTAATGTACACATATCTTTATCTGGACCAGATTAATGTACACATATCTTTATCTGGACCAGATTAATGTACACATAACTTTATCTGACCAGATTAATGTACACATATCTTTATCTGGACCAGATTAATGTGCACAGATCTTTATCTGGACCAGATTAATGTACACATATCTTTATCTGGACCAGATTAATGTACACATATCTTTATCTGGACCAGATTAATGTACACAGATCTTTATCTGGACCAGATTAATGTGCACAGATCTTTATCTGGACCAGATTAATGTGCACAGATCTTTATCTGGACCAGATTAATGTACACATATCTTTATCTGGACCACAGATCCTTCCTTGCTCTTTAATTACTAATATCATCAAGATGTCAATTTAGTGAATACAATGTCCAGTGTATTTTGCTCTAAACGTAGCCTTTGTTTACGTTGCAGCTCGTACCTTCCAGAGTGTGGACCACGGGAGTTGGGTGAGTCGTGTATAGATGTGCATTCGTTACTTCATTACCTCTGGCCTCTCCTTGCAATACCAACAACCTACAGCTGTCATACACTTATTCACTCGATTCTGTCATGAATTTTCACGTTTCATTCTTTAGATTTTGTAAAATCACATCTCAGCAGCTGTGTTCTGGCCCTGGATCTAACACATTTTTTTAAACTAATTGACAGTTTTTTACTCTTTTATTTTATCAGTAACACTCTTAATAAATCTAAAAAAAAGTGTTATCTGCTTAATTCTTCTATGAATTCTTCTATGAATCTACATACTTCTTCTGTGATTAGATCATTTATCGTCTTTAAGTCGATTTCTTTTTATGCTAGTACCCGACAATACAATTTTCAGCTTTAAAATCTCAAACAAAAACCAAACCTTCGCTAACGCAACACAAAGCTAACATCATATCTAGATCTAATAGTTTTTCTAGTCAATTGTACTAAATTGCACCTCAAGGACTAATCGTTACCAGTAGCAAAACAAAGCGCTCACATCAAAGTATTAGAAAATAGTTTTTACTGAGTAACACAGATGTTTTCCACATTTCCTATTTTAGATGACCAGCTACAGCATTCAGTCTTCAACCATATATATATATATATATATATATATATATATATATATATATATATATATATATATATATATATATATATATATATATATATTATATGTATATGTTACGGTCAAAGCCCGAAGTCGGCCAATGCTAGGATTGGCCGGCCAATCCGCGCATTGGCCAATATCGCCTCCCATAGGTCGGTCAAAGTCCGAAGCCTTGCTTGATTTCGGCATTTGGCCGGCCAATCCGCAGACTGGCCATGGTGGACCGGCCAAAGTCTGAAATAGCTCTTGATTTCAGCCTTTGGCCGGCCAGTCCGCGGACTGGCCATGGTGGACCGGCCAAAGTCTTAATCAGAAGATCATCTGGTTAGGGACGACCGTCCAAAGTCCGAATTAGAAGATCATGAGCAGATTTTGGTTTTTTTTTATGCCGTAAGGATCATGAAATTAATTCTTTATTGATTATTAATTAAAGTAAATGACAGAAACATTCAAATTTTTTATTGTACTATAGTCTCAATCTATCAATATCATCATTTGTTACAACAAGTTGAACTTTTATGGCATTTAGAATTATATAGCAGCTTGTTATTTTTACACTTGCAGCGATTTGTTGTGCACTTAGTTGTGCAATTGCAGCGAGTGTAGCATTGGCCCCCAGTCAATGATTGTGAAGATGCGATGGTTCGTAGTGAATTTTCCTTAGTGTCAACTGACGACAATAAGAGCAGTTTTTCGTGAAGAATTGAAAACTCACATCTAGCATACAGTTGTTTTAGAACACCATGTTCCGTTCCTAATTCGTAGAAACCGCCCTCGACGCTCATGACAACTGCAATCACGCTTCGGGGATCACAGTGACCTCTGTCAACATCTGGAAAACGGATGCGTACATTGTCACCCACTTCACTATCTTTAAATTTTGTATTTGATGTTTTAAGCATTTTAGCACCTTGAGTTTGCAAGCCAGTATGAGCTACTGATCTGTGTTCCATGATGTCTTGTTTGTTGTGACACAATCTGCAGGTAATGTTCCCTCCGTACCCTTCGTCTGCTTCATTGGGTATTCCACAAATAGCATGGACATCGTTGCCACAGGATCTAAAAGAATCAGCTGCACTACAATGTTTTTCACAAACTATACAGAATCTGTTGGCCACATTATTGTCACGCAACTGGTCTGGGCGTTCCGCCACGGCAGTAGATGTGTTAGCTGATGATGTCGTTGCATTTATGGCAACCTCCATTTCTTGTTCAATGTTCTCAAGATCTTCCTCAGTAACTATTTTATCGAGAGCCCATATATGGAAACTAACATGGATTTACATTTTTTTCTTTTGACAGCCATCTGCTATGTCTGTCTCATGGTCTGACGGCCCTTTTGATCCATGTCGCCTTGCATATAGAATGCTATACAAACAATAGGTAAACAATACGTTACTCTCAATGAAAACGCACCCAGAATAATGAAAATGCGATCACAACTTAATCTAGATAGATTTGGCCAGTGCGTCCCGGCCAGTGCGCGCATTGGCCGGCCAATGTACGAAAAACGATCTTAGTGCTAAGTTTTTCGGGCTTTGGCCAAGAGAGCCGGCCAATGCGCGGATTGGCTGGCCAATCCGCGCTTTGGCCGCACTTCGGGCTTTGACCGTAACATATATATATATATATATATATATATATATATATATATATATATATATATATATATATATATATATATATACACACGTTTTTGTACTTTTGTAAAAAGTTAAAAATATATGTTTGTCCTACCCTCAAATGTGCTATTTAGCCACTAAGATCAACAGATATATCATGTTTGTCCTACTCTCAAATGTGCTATTTGGCCACTAAGATCAACAGATATATCATGTTTGTCCTACCCTTAAATGCACTAAGATCAACAGATATATCATGTTTGTCCTACCCTCAAATGTGCTATTTGGCCACTAAAATCAACAGATATAAAACTTTAGGACCCACACAATTTGTAGCGGATCAACAGATATATCATGTTTGTCCTACCCTCAAATGTGCTATTTGGCCACTAAGATCAACAGATATATCATGTTTGTCCTACCCTCAAATGTGCTATTTGGCCACTAAGATCAACAGATATATCATGTTTGTCCTAACCTCAAATGTGCCATTTGGCCACTAAGATCAACAGATATATCATGTTTGTCCTACCCTCAAATGTGCTATTTGGCCACTAAGATCAACAGATATATCAACATTCGTCCTGGCTGATGTCAAACTGATTGTTGGACATTTCCCGCAGGGGACATTAGTGACGTCACCTGGCGGTCAAATACACTGGTCAAGTTTTTTGTCTAGATGGTACGAGTTTATAAGGTAGCCTATTCACATTTATGTCGGCAGTATATTCATGTTAAAGTAGGGGGTATCACGTGACAATAGCTTTAGAGTGCGTGCCTTTAGCACATCAGTGGCCACGCCTGAAGTGTGTCTCTACGGTTCACTGAGCAGCACATCGCTGTTGGACGCCGTCACACTTGATCGATTTACTTCACCTTATTTTTCGTTCGGTATTTCTTCCCACAATCTTTTGTTGTTGTACCGAAATAACTATTGGCGCTAATCTTGAATAAGTCTTCAATGCAAGTCTTCAGTGCAATGCCGTGTATTGGGTTTAGCTCTGCTGTATGCTGCAAGTCTGTAATGTTTGTATTAGGTTTAGCTCTGCTGTATGCTGCAAGTCTGTAATGTTTGTATTGGGTTTAGCTCTGATGTAAGTTGCAAGTCTGTAATGTTTGTATTTGGTTTAGCTCTGCTGTATGCTGCAAGTCTGTATTGCCGTGTATTGGGTTTAGCTCTGCTGTATGCTGCAAGTCTGTAATGCCGTGTATTGGGTTAAGCTCCCGGCCCTCTAGCTACTCGACATGGCCACCCTGTCAGCAGTAATGAAGAGTTGGCTACATTGAGTGGCCAATCGATTGCACTGTAGTTGCGGCAGCCCATCTCCTGCGTGCCTCTGATATCCTCCCATCAAATGAAAGGCTCAGGACTACGGATATGAAGAGCGTGGACCCAATCAGGCAAACAATGGCTAGTGACTCTCTTTTGTCCCGTCACGGTTCAGTGGGCAAGTGAATTTAGCTGTCAGGGGAAGTACCGTCTCTGTTTTCCTCCCCGACCCGCTCTACGCTTCACCCGTCAAACGGCGCATGTTTACACCCAGGGTCCTCTACCTCACCGGCCCCCCCCCCCCCCCCGCCTCTGTCTACCTGTTAGAAGGTTAGACGCCCTTTTCTCATACAATCCTCTAAACTTTATTTATTTCACAAGACTGAATTGGGCTATTTGTATTGTCATTATTCTGTGTTCGTCGGATCTTTTTTTTTTTAATTACAGCACTCAGTACACTTAGACAAATATCTGATTAGGCAGTCTTTTTATAATAATGATAAGAATGATGAATAGATTTCCATACATTTCTTGTAATGATCTAATGAGCAGAGAAAATAAGTCATGTTTCTGCTGAAATTGTTGCTCCGGGCTGACTCACACATGCCTGCTTGTGGTTTAGAAGAAAATAACCAGGACAACAAGAGAATTATCTTATTTCGGTATCAATAATATACACTTATTATCTTAGTACCGAAAAAGTATGTTCAAATGAATGTCCACGTTTACTTAGCGCATGAAAACACAGAAGGCAAGACCAGGGTGTAGTCGGCGTACACCATTTTGTTGTTGTTGTATCAACTGGTTGAGTTAGCATGGAAAGTCTAAGTTGGAGAAAAAGATGTTGATAAGCGTGCTGGATCTACGTCACGTGGCTTTAAGCTGTGCAGGTATTCACTGGATTTTTTAAAATACTTTGATCTTATAAAAAGAAGAGAAAAAAATATGTTTTGTTTCCATTAGTTTTAGCGCGAAATGTTTTTTTAGTTTGTTTTAGAATGCTAGCCATTGTGCGGTATAAGTTCGAGTGCCGGTATACGGTAGGTCTGCATGTAAGCTGAGCCAGGAATCGTGTGTTTGTTTAACGTGACAAACTGGTTCATCATCCCGTGTTGATCATGTTGACAGTGACAGGCACGACGTCTGTCACATAGAAATGTACACCATCTATCATTAACTCTTGCAGGCATCACCTCCCGCACTTCAACTATTTTAGACTGGCAAGATCGAATTGCGCGCTACAATCGCGAGAACTACGTACGGTTTATTTTCCTAATCTGTCGCTCGTTATTTGAGTCAATTGGATTTAATGGTATTTGCTTTACAGCTTGTAAGTAAGATTTTATTGATCGCTATAGACTGCTGTGTGTTTATGTAGAGGTCAGTGCTACCCGTTCCTTGGTTAAATAGATGAGACACTTCTTACCTTCACGGCACGCTGTTATCTTCTCTAACCACAAGGGTTGACTTTAT